TTTATTGGTCATTTGGTCATAAATTGCTCGGTTGCCTGGTGGCCTAGTGGATGGGTAGCATTATACGGATTCGCGATTATCCGGACTACCAACCGTGACCTATTTATATGTATGTGCATACCTACAATTCGAATTTTTGCATGATTAATGCTGCAGTTCACTATTTTTATGTACATAATTGTTTATTGTATGTAATGTAATCTAAGAAACTATGTATATATACACATAAGAAAGTGTTAATTTCTTAATAAACATTGATTTTCGTTGATATATATGTATGTATTTGTAATTTTTAATAAATACACAACATTATTCTTCATACATTCGACTATCCGCATTTTCGATTATCCGAATGCCCATCGACAGCAATTAGTCCGGTTAATCGAGTTTCTACTGTATTCTGATTGTAAGTATAAACTAGCTGTAAGTGACTTAAGGCAAATTGCTGGAACTTCCCGTACCAAAAATTATTATTTTTTTAAAAACGATTAACATTTTTGAAAAAAAATTTACTTTGAAAAAAATAAGATTTTTGAGAAACTATAAATTGGACAAAAAATTACTTTTTTTGAAAAAAAATTTTTTAAAAAAAAATAATTTTTTTTTTAAATTTTTTTTTTTTTGAAAAAATTTTTGTTTCTTTATTTTGACATATTGTGGAAGATCAGAACTTTCTTTTCAAAGCAATCGTACTGCTTTAACTGCATAGGGACAAAATATAAAGCGCGTAAGCCCCGCGTCAATGTCTAACGCATAAGCATTGGTACGGAACCCATAGGAATGTTAACAAAATGTATACTTATTGTTAAAATCTCTATAAAATATCTGATAATTTGATGTGCATATGTCTAATGATCATTTTTGACCGCCAAATGGCTCATTTTTTTACTTTTTCCTCCATATCTCAAAAACTGAGTTACCGTTTTCGGCACTTTTTGCCCCGTATCTTCGGAAAGGCTAGACCTGCCTTCGCCAAAAACTAATCAGCACGTCTCCTTATCAATACGAATCGAATGTTTTTTTAATTATTCAAATCGGTTGATCCGTGTTCCCGAAATCGTCGACAAAAATTTGTATCCGCACATACATACGCACACATACATACATACGCACACATACATACATACATACATACATACATACATACACATACACACACACACACACAAACATACATCCATTTTTTCTAAGGTATGCCAAAATGTTCAGAAACCTCTGAAACGTGAAGATATATAAAAATTTTCATTTTTGATTTTTTTGCGATTACTATAACTTGCCCTACGGGAAGTTAAAAAACAAACAAAAACACTTCCATTTTGATATTAATGTTATAAATTTATAACTTCGTTGATTCACAATTTTCCCCTGATATAAGACTAGATATATAACTTCAGCCAAAACGAATGGATTTCAAATAAACTAATATAAAAAATATCGCTAAACTTTGATTGAAGCATATATTAAGGAGGGGTCATTATAACATTTCAGAAATGCATTTTTTTAAAAGAGTAATTTACATAATTGCACACGAATCTCATATAAAGCTTTGGTTTGCTTTTAGAATAATGTTCCTTCTATGATTATTCTAAACGAATAGAAAAATATGCAAAAAAATGTGGGTGCATCGACGAGGCACACCATCTCGAGATTTGGATATTATATGATATATTAAATATATTATTTTACTATTATATATTTTTTTAAATATATAACTTATGGAAAACGTAATGAATAGTAATCAAGAAACTAACGTACTTTTCATATAATTTCAGTGACACACTGTAAAAAAAAGTTTAAAAAATGGAGGAGGACGCTAGGCAGAAAATGGCATGCGGTCTTTGAAGCCCTGGCACTACACTAATCCTGTATATGAGACCAAGGAAAAAGTTCGCAGATTTTATTTCGATAGGCGGCGTTAGTTACAAATAATTAAGAAAATACGCATCGCAGCGTATTTTGACATCTTGAGCATTATTAAAAGATTATAACCATCAAAATTAGTCAAGTGGTTGTAAAGTTATTTGCGTTCTAAAATGGAGGAAAGTAATGAAAACATATGCTATATTTTGCAATATTATTATGATAAAGGGAAGAACGGTGCGCAGATTTGTGCAAAATCTACTCCAATGACTAAAAAGTTGATGGTACTCTTTAAATAGTCCAGCAAGATAAGCATATCAGCACTGTCGACATTGGTGTGAAATGAAATCAGAAAAATGTTTTGAAGTAATTACACAAAGCTGGCAGCAAAAGAAAGCTCGATGTGTGGGACCTTCATGAGTTGGGCGCGAAAAACTTGATAGATCAAATTAACGTCTTCGAAGCTCTGCTGAAATGCAATAAAATCGCACCATTTCTGAAACATTCCATGAGTGGTGATCACGTACGAGAATCGGAGGCGAAAAAGATAATGGTTGAGTTATGATGAGCGACACCCAAAAAGGTTATGCTGTGTTTGTAGTGGAATTTGAAGAGAATCGTCTAGTATCAAGAGCTACTTCTAGTTGATCAGACAATTTATTTTTAAGTATACAGCAAATAACTTGAGAGATTACTCCAGACAATTAAAAAAAAACTGCCTGAATTGAAGATGTTGTCAATATCCAATATCGACCATACACTCTTTTCATAACATGCCAAAAGTTGCGAAAGTTTGGTTGAGAAATTTTGATGCGTCCACCGTATAGTCCAGACACCGTATAGTACCCTCTGACTTGTTCACATTTGTTCTAATCTCTGTAGAACTCTTTTAATAGAATTGAAAGGAATTCAAAAGGAGTTTTAACCGGAAACCACATAAGCTTTTTTACCGATAGCATCATGATTTTACCCAAAAAATTGCAAAAAATTGTCGATAATAATGGAACATATTTGGTTTCAATAAATTTCCTGTTGAGTTTCAGTAAAAATCTGCGAACTCTTTCCTTGACCATATACAGGGTGGCTGATATGTATTGCAACCAATTTCAGACCGCTATCATTTCTAAACCGCTCATCAGACAGATGACAGATTTATTCCAGTGATTGTTCATTTAATTGTTTACAAGCGTACAAAAGCATTTTGATCTATTGCATTCAGAAAAAAAGTTATTCGTGATGGAAGTCAAGCGTGATAGTGCGATTGCTTCATACTTGGCTGAAAAACCTTAGGTGGCTAAATTTCGAGCCCTACAGTATTTAAATGCGAACAAATATTTTGTTTCTCGTACCATATCTCGTAACCGTGATACACTCAGTGTTGCACCGTGTCCAAAAAGTGGACGAAAAAAAACACTAACAACCCCAGAAATGATCCAAAAAGTTCAGGCAAAAATCAATCAAAATTCGTGTCGCAGTGGTAAAAAAATGGCCCGTGAGCTGAACATATCGCAAAAACGGGTGCAGCACATATTGAAAAATGAGCTTGAACTAAAGCCATTGAAGATCCAAAAAGTGCAAGAGCTCATTGATGCACAAAAAAAATTTAGACGGAAAGAAGCGAAGGGGTTGCTTCGCTTGCACGAAAGTGGCTAGTTACCAAATTTGGTTTTCTCAGATGGGAAGTCCTTCCAAATCGAGCAGTTTGTGAACAAACAAAATGATAGGGATTACTTGCCAAAAAGGTCAGCTAAAAATTTACACCTTCGATTGGCCACCAGAACTCGAGCGCCGCCGACGGTAATGGTGTGAACCACTGTAACGGCCGATGGTGACATTCCACTCTTATTCATCGACCGTGGGATCAAAATAATTGCCGAAATTATCGGGAAAATGTGTTAAAGGCAGTATTGAAGTCCTGGGTAGACAAAAATTTCGATCGCAGACCATGGACATTCCAACAGGACTCAGCACCATCAAACTCAGCACGCGTCTACCAAAAATGGCTTATAAAAGAGGTTTTTCGCTTCATTTGCATCGCACAATAGCCACCAAAATCTCTGGATCTAAATTTGCTGGACTTTTGTGTCTTGGACATTTTGAAGAGTAAGGTTCGCACTAAAAAATACCAAAGTGTCGATCATCCCAAGAAGGCGCCTCGCCGGGAATGGGCCAAAATACCCCAGAGCCACTTTCGTGCAGCGTGTTATGGTTTTTCTGTCGTTTGAAGGCCATAATTCGTGCCAAAAGTGGCCAATTGAAACAAATATAAACTGATTCTAAAATTTGATGTTATTCCTGACATTTTTGCTTTTGAACAATGAAATTTAAAATGAAAATGACAAAGTTATAGCGCTTTACTTTGTTGCAATACATATCAGCCACCCTGTATATATATATATATATTAGGGTGGTCCTTAAAAAGGTCATTTTCGAATTTTCTTGCTCCCAGGGGCTCAAATGGTTCCAAATAGATAAAAAACAATTGTCTGAAAGTTTTAGCTCTTAATATTAACGTTTAGATAGAGCGCAAATAAATCAAAGTTTGTATGGAAAGAGCATAGTAAAAAATTTTAAAGTTTTAAAAAATGTTTTAGGTATAACTTAGCGGCAAATGAATGAGTTTTATTCATTCATTTGTTCGGTAAATTACATCTAAAAATCATTTTTTAAATTTTTGAAAATTTTTTCATGCTATTTCCATACAAAATTTTGATTGAATTGCGCTCTATCTAAACGTTAATATTAAGAGCTAAAACTTTCAGACAATTGTTTTTTATCTATTTGGAACCATTTGAGCCCCTGGGAGCAAGGAAATTCGAAAATGACCATTTTAAGGACCACCCTAATATATATATATATATATATATATATATATATATATATATTGTGATTAAAGTAAGGCAAAACACGACTACATATATATATATATATATATATATATATATATATACTAGATGACCCGACAGACGTTGTCCTGTACCCACCTCTACGTTTTTTTAATATCCGATACTAATATTTATACCGTTCAGTTAAAAATAATCATTATTGTTTTTCGAGTTACTATTTACACCAATATATGAGTGATGTTAAATGTAGTACTGTTTCAAATAAAATGATTATTCTCAATTCCCACAGTTAACACTTTAATTATCCCTTTAACAAATAATAAAATACTTTCAATAAAATTATATATTAAAAATTATACACTGCGTTTTATAGAACAAATTTATTTCCAATAGCTCAATTTATTTTATTGAATTTAAGGGTTATACAATATTTTTAGACATACCTGTAGATGTGGATGTTTAAATGAATGATTTTTTGTTTATTCACGGCTAATACATTGATTTTCCAAATTTATCACCATGTATTTATTGTCATAGCATAGATACACGTGTTGAAAATTGAAATCTTTTAAAAAGTATAACAAATTCAGAAAGAATTAATATATAGCCTGCGGTCAAGGTACAATATCACCTTGGATTTTTCTACCCAAAATAATTGCATCAATAATGTTGCCTACAATTTTTATAATTTCGTACCATATTTTAACTGGCTTTTAGTATTTTAATATCTAAATTGCATTTTTCACACTAATAATTCAATATACATTATTACTTAAGTTCATATTTGAAGTGGATTAATTTGTCAAATTTTGTTCACATGTGCTCTATTCAACCTACTATCAACAAAATTATTGCAGTAATTGGAGAGGAAAAAAAGCGTATGCCCAGCTAATCTTAATCTAAAGTTCAGAAGTGAAAACAATTTGCATTTCGTCACCACCCCCCGCATTAATTGGATTATAACTCTTTTAATTCTGATTTTAATTCTTTTATCATAACTTGTAATATACTATTTTAAAGGTGATTAAATGAGCTACAACTTTCTCTATCATAAATTTTACCGTAACTTCTCTTATTTTGAAACGGCGAAGGGTTAAAGGGCTCGAAAGACACTCCGGTTGGACAGCCGCGCACTCTTTAAACAATTAGAACTCTAACAATATTTGTGTAACAAAAAATAATAAAAAGCAATAATTAGTCTGAAAAATACCTTGAATTTTCATATATATACTTTTATACGTATTCTTTCAGAGATATTATAATGAGAAATTGTTTTTTTTTTAAATGGATTTTTTTATGAAATCATGAGTTTTTTGAAAATCGTTTGTACTAATGTTATGGTATTTTTTTAGAATCCATCAAGATCTCTCAAACCAAGTTAATTCTAGATGGAAAACGATTATTTTTAATTTTGGTGGAAATGGCACTCATAAACTATTTGATTTAAATGAAAAAAAAACATTGTATGCGTCTTTTAATTGCATGATAGCTCACTCATTTTACACGCAAAGAAGTACTTTCTTAAAGCTTATTTGTAGAACTATAAAAACCCATTTTCATAATTAACTTAATATTGTTCCTAGAACACTGTGAAATAGCGATTTATTAGGATTTTTATTGATATAATTTTATTTTTATTGATAAAAAACGCAAAAAAGAAACAAATTTTCAGTAGCCAGTAACTTGAAAAGTATGTGCTTTTTTGAAAAACATTATTAAACATTTTTCTCTTATAATTAGTTCTTTTATCCACACCTAACGTTATTACACCACTGAAAAGAAATGGCATCCCCCCGGGTAGTGCAAAGGAGTCTAAATTGTTTTCACTTTTGAACTTGAGAGTAAGATGAGCCTAATTCCAAAATTCCAAACGAATTGGAAAACAGTAAAAAAAAGTTCAGACCCAAAGCGCTCCATTGAGTAACTATTCCGTACAAAATGCCAACCATATGAAATTTTGACACAATGAAACTTCTAAATAATTTTTTGAATAAGTAATTTTTTTTGTATTGTGACTTAGTATAGTAAGGCAAAACGACCGCAAATTGAATATTTTTGAGCGCAATCACTTATGGCTCGTCTCCTTTGCACGAATTCGTACGGCGAATCTGTTCGCAAAGTGCGTTGAGAACACGATTCGCCGTGCGCGTCAGTCGCATGCGCAGACTGTCAGACGTATGTTATATTATTTACATCTTATATTATTTTAATTATGGCACATCTCAGTGCTTTTCGACAATAATAATGTAGACATTACTTTTTCCTTATTCATAATTATGAATTTATTATATTCTAATATTGCCTTAGCCTATAAGTGAATAGAAATGTTTGGCAAATGACAGTCCTCAATTGTTTTTAATGTCAAACTAAGCTTCAAATATTTTCAAGGGCAAACAATGATAAGCGGTTTTTTGTAATTTTTTCTATTTATTTCTACAATTTAACTATATTTCTATGAATCAAAACATTCTAAAAAATTTCCCGAACAAACTTCAGGAAGATTCATGAAAATCCGAATTATAGTTTAGGAGGAAATATGAAACTTACATTGTTACAGAAGAATTTTATATATAAGATATATATATATATATATATATATATACTAGATGACCCGACAGGCGTTTTCCTGTACCAATGTCTTTGATTCAATTGATCAAAAAGTTCAATTTTTTTTATTAATGTATATACATCCATATGGGTGATCTTGAACCTACAACTGCTTTAAATAAAATGATGAGTATCAGAACCACACTTTAATTATATTGTGAAACTCATATCAGCCACGTAACACCATCAAACAAACAAATACTGAAATATGTTCAATGAAATAGTATATTAGTAATATACACTATAATTTATTGAACAAATTTATTTCCAATAGCTCAATTTATTGTATTGCCAAGAGTTATCCAATATTTTGAGTCATACCTGTAGATGTAGATGTATAAATAAATGATTTTTTGTTTATTCATGACTAAAACATCGATTTTCCAAATTTATCACTAAAAATTCATCGTCTGCCTTTGTGATTTATAGCATAAGATATACGTATTGGAAATTGCAGTCTTTTAAACAGTATAACGAATTCAGAAAGAATCAATATATAGTATCCGCGGTAAAGGTACAATATGACCATGGATTTTTTTCACTCAAAATAAATGCTTGAATAATGTTGCCCATAATTTTTATAATCTCGTACTATATATTTCATTACATTTTACAGCTTCAGTCGCTCGTCAACTGCCGAAGGGATCGGACCTATAAACATAAATATTACCGGATTAAAGTGTATTGTTAGTGAGTGAGTCATCGGAAAATTACCGCTAACCTTTGTTGGCGTATAAACAGTTTGCCATGACGCAACAATGGCAACGAATTGTTATTTGCCTATTGTCGAAGCGACAAATATATTACTAGATGATTCAACAACAAATTCTGAGTTTGTTGAAAATCATTTAAAATCAATAAATTATGTGAATAATATACCAAATGTCAGTGATTGTGTGAATAATATACCAAATGTCAGTGATACCGCTAGTAGTGTCGACTTAGAAATGAGTGTAGACGGACCAAAACAACGTCGCCGAAACTCCCGCTCGACATAACGAAAATAATATTAACAAAAAATCACAAGATTGGACGACAATTCGTTTAAAAAAACAAAAACGTGATGAAGCCTATGATACGTCGCGCCTAAAAAAAAAACAATATCTGCTGATTACTGGCTAAACCCGACGCCAACTAAAAATTATTATGACGTATTAAGCAAACATACTGGCGCAACAAACTCTGAACAAACACAAAATACTGTTCAAAATACCGAACAAACTGCAACCGATAATAAACCCCCGCCTATCTTTGTTCATGAGGTGGGTGACATTAAACCATTGACATCACTACTTGAAAACGAAGCCAAAAATTCATATAAATTAAAAATAATTAGTGCCAGTCAAGTTAAAATAAACTTCGACAGTCCAAAAACCTACAACAAAATTCTTAAGCTAAAAGAAAAGGAAACAAAAATGCACTCGTTTCAAGAAAAAGCTAAGCGGTCATTCAAAGTAGTTGTAAAAAACCTACATCACAGCGCTGATATTGATATGCTGACAAAAAAAATTCAAGAACTGGGCCATAAAGTCGTAAGAATATATAATCTAAAAAGCAGATTTCATAACTATCCATTAAATATCTTCGCCATTGAATTAGAACAGCAGGCCAACAATAAAAACTTTTCAAAATTGAATATCTTTATAGCACAAAAGTAGACATCGAACCCAAACGTTATCGACGAGAAATTGTGCAATGTACAAGGTGCCAGAATCTGGGGCATACAAAAAACTATTGTTTCAGGAAGCCGCGATACGTCAAATGCGCGGAAGACCATCTCACCAAAGATTGTGAATGAACTGATAAAATTAATGAAAAAGTTACTTGTGTTTTATGTAATGAAGGTCATCCAGCGAACTACAAAGACTGCCGCATATATCAACAACATCCTAATCGAAAATACCCGCCAGCACGCAACAAAGAACATAACAACAATAGGAACTCACTGGCACACCCAGGCTTAACGTACTCTCAGGTAACACAGAAACAAACTACAACTCAGCAAAACCTTATCAATATCAACAATAGTACAGCAAACGATACCACAAATAACAATAGTAATGCGACAAACAACAACAGCGACATAAACGAACTTAAACATATGATGAAAATTCTAACTGAACAAATGTGTACAATGCTAAACCTTCTAACCACATTACTAGCGAACAAAAAATAATGGCAACCTTGTTAAGGATTTGCCTATGGAACGCCAACGGACTGCACACCAACATGTACAAAAACTAAAATACTTTTTAGTACACAATTCAATTGATATTTTGCTTATATCTGAATCACACCTGACCGATAAATGCCACATAAAAATACCAAATTATTCCATGTACAGCACGCAACATCCCAGCGGGAGGTCACATAGAGGTACTGCAGTTATTATTAAAACAAGCCTTTGTCACTATGAACTTGATCCATATAACGAAGAATTTCTACAAGCAACCACCTGTGTTCAACTTCGACACGAACTAATATGTTTTTCGGCAGTCTACTGTCCTCTAAGACACTCCATCACTGAAGATCACTTTTCCAACTTCTTCACTAAGCTGGGAAACAAATTCATAGGAGGAGAAGATTTTAACGCAAAGAATACTTACTGGGGCTCAAGACTTCATTGTTCTTTATTACATTCCTTTATTATTTATTATTTATTTAGACTAGGATAGTTATAGATATGAGTTTATATAGAATTAGCTATTTAAGAACTTATA